ATAGTAAATTTAATAGGTGGGTTATAACCCACTTATGTTTTTTATATGTATGCAAGTCTATGCGAGTCTATGCGATTCCAATTTTAGGGATCATATTATTGCTTAGACCCATAAAACCATATGATAACTGTTTAAGGGTTGAATAAAACATATAAAAAGCCCAAAATTTTTATATTAATATAATGTTGGAGTTGTTGTTATATTGATTAGAAAAACCATTGAGGTGTTGTGATATAAGGTTGTTGTTAATATTGTTACACAGTTTTGACCTGGTTTGATTGTTATTATATTGGATTGTTGATATGTAATTAGTTGTTGGTATATTGATTGTTTGAAGGAATAAAACTAATTTTGGTTTTTGAGATTTATTGAATTTTGTAAAAAATAAGTTGGTATAATATTGTATATCAAATGGAAAATAGTTGCAAAGATTTGATTAAAATAAGCAAGAGATCCAGTAACTTTGTTTGAGTATAACTTTAGGATTAATTTTGTAAATTTGAAAGATAGTATAAAAATAGTAATAATGGTATATAGATAGAGAGAAATACATAAAGACAAAATTATAAAAGAGGACTGCCACAGACCTTTTTCTATATAAACAAAAAACAAACAATACTTTTAAACTTGCTTAACTTTTGCCCAGAGGTCCTATTTCAATATAACAATAATTTTTAACGTTTTTATATTTTTGAGCTTATAGTATAGATAATATATTGAGAGAGTGAAAGTGTTGCTTCAAAAAAATTTTTCAAAGAATTAGTAGTAAATGAGTGGAAGTTTTTTTTTTTTTTTTTATCTGTTTAATTTTTTATTTAATTCATAATCAAAAAAAAGATAATAAAAATAAGTAGCAAATTTTTAAATATATGCTTGATATACAGTATATATAAATTAATTTTCTTAATCAAAAATACATTATTTTTTGATTGTTAAAATGTTTATTGTCATGAAAAAGCATAGTAATCTTGAATATATATAGGGTTCCGAAAAGTACCGAACCGATACCGAAGTGGTATCGAAATGGTACCGATCTATAGTAAATTTAATATATGGGTTGTGACCCATTCATATAAATTTATAATAAATTGAGTATCGAACTGGTATCGAACTGGTATCAAAGTGGTATTGTTAGGAGCCCTAAATATATAGCAGAGTATAGTTATCTATTTAGTTAGCATATAAATAGCAAAAAAAATAATAAAATAAGAAACAAATTTTTAAATACATCAATTTAATTAAAAATTCTAGGGCTTATATTTCTGATATATATTTTTCTAAAGCTTTTTTACAAAGCCTTTTATAAAAAGATATAATATAATATTCTCTTTAATAAATTTTGTATTATTTATAAGTAGAAGCAGTTGGTTTTTCACAATCAATACAAAGTATACATTTTTTTGACTTATAATAAAAATAGCATTCTTTAGAATATATAGATAAATCATTACAAATTTTATCAGAATTATATATATATTGACAGATATATTCACTGATTATATTTGATTAGAATAAATAATTAATTAATATTGTAACACGGGAAAGTGGCGACGTGTATGTCACCAACATTAGATGCCAAGACCTATCGCATGCTATAATTACAAGCCACAATGGAACAATAGCCGGCGCACATGAAAAATAAGAGGCTTTGGTGAAAAAATATCACGTAAGCGAAGAAAGACCAGGCAAAGTCATGTGCTACGACTTTGCTTGGTAAAATTAATCAATTATGTAAGATGACGACAAGAATAATGATGTGTTATATAATAGCTTAGCCGTGATTTCGTTACTTTATTTTTTACTCTTATCTTTCTTTATTTGTTCATTTTATTTTCTCATTGATACTTATGTAATTATCCAATTTAATGTATAAAAAGAATCATGGTTGTATCAAAAGAGAGACAATCGGAAAAATTGGTAAAAAAAAAAATTAAATAAAATCGTTTTTCGACCATAATCGAATCCACCTCACATATAATAAAAATACTTACCTTCGTTATGCAAATCTTAGCTTTTCCTTAGCAACAGACTCACCGATAGTAGTGACAATATAAAGATTTTTATAAAATAATATATAATACTTTTTATATAAAATTGTTAAAAATACAACTTGTAATAAATGAAATCTAAATTTTTCTATTTATTAGAAATATCAACAATATTTAAATTGAAAAAATCTTTGCTAACCTAGAAATTCAATTAAAGTTTTTAATCCAATACAAAATATGTCTCCAGTTAAAAACCTAGCATTAATTCCAGTATAAAATATGTTTCTAGCTGAAAATTCTATATCAATTTCAGCACAAAATATATCACTAGTTGAAAATCCAACTCCTGCACAAAATACTCTTTTAGCTATAGTCTCTAATCCAATGCAAAATGAACTATAAACAAAAAATGCATATCAACACAAAATCAAGCATTACTATTAGAAGTTGATCTTATATTATTTGATGAAAATCCATTAAAATATTAGTTAGCTTAGCCAAGAGAAGTAAATATGCCAGCAGTTGATCTTTTAACTGGAAATATTTCAGATATAGAAACTGAACCAAGTCCTAGTACATATATAGAGCAAAAAAAGAAGCAATTTATAACTGTAAATAATTAATAAAGTGGTTATCAAAACCTGAAATAATAAATAATAAAAAAATTAGATCAAAACCTATATTTAAAACAGATGAAGAATGATATGATTTAATGAAAAATGATAATAAAAAAGATAATGAACCAAGAGATTTAGAATATGATACAGCAGAAGATCCAGATATTTATTTTGAGAAAATCAAAGATCCATATATTAATAGGATAACAGAAATTAAAAAATTTAATGAAGGTGAGATATGTGATTATTATGTATTTGTGCCAAAAGAATACTATGCCAAAAACGAACCACTGGTTTCTTTGAATCAATTGAAGAAAAGTTGTAGATATTTACAAAAGAGAGTTAGCTTTAAAGGGAGGGTTAAAGGTAAAAATTGTGTTAATTGCAAAAATGAAGAAAATAGAGCAAGAAATCCAAGAACCTAAATATAAAACTTTTCCATTTAAGTATAAAAAAACTATAGAAATTATTAGAGAAGATCGAATTAATGCAACTATAGAAAAATAATATAATGAAATTATAGATCAGATTGAGGATAAAGCAATACAAGAATCTGGATGGGCTTTTATATGAGCAGAAAAGGTAATTCTTGAGATAAGTGCTTTTAGACCATTACAAGATAACAGTTAGTTATCTTTACCAGAAGCTTTAGACAAATCTCAATTAGGATTAATTAATTCACAAAATAAGGATGATAACGAATGTTTTAAATGGTGTATAAGTACATATAATACACAAGAGGAAGCATTAAAAGCTAATGGGAAGCCATCCCATCTTAATGAAATTTGAAGACTTAGGCAAAATACGAATATTGCTAATTTTAATAATATAAAATTTCCTGCCACACTATATGATATTGACAAATTTGAAGAAATCAATCCTAATTATGTTATTAATATATTTAAGCCATCTTATAGAGAAGCTTTTGGAAAAATAATAGTAGATATAGACCCATTACATTTCAGAACGAAATTACCAGGTCGAATATATGATAGATTTATTATATTTAACAGGTGAAAAAAGTTTAAATGACCGAAAAAATCCAAATAATATACAAGAAGGTTTAAAAACACATTATGTATCTATAACAAATTTCACCCGATTAATGCATAAGTGGAATAACCATCATGGTAAAAAATATTTCTGTCAAAAATGCTTGTGATTTCCATATAGTAGATTAGATCTATTACAAGAACATATTCTTACAAGCCTAGGTCCAAGTAAAGCCTCACAACATTTAATTCTTCCAGAAGAAGGTAAAAATTATGTAAAATCCAATATATCAAGAATATGTTAATGAAATCCTATTTAATTACTATGGATTTAGAAGACAAAAAAATTGAAGCTAAAGAAGGAAATACTATAAAAGAAGCAGAGCAGATAGCAGTTTCATATGGATATACTATTTATTGTTCAGATGAAACAACACAAAAACCAGTGATTAATCGAGAATCAGAAAATATAATAAAGGACTTAATGAAAAACCTTCAAGAAGATCTAGATATTATTTTAGATAAGCTTCGTGACATAGTTCCATGTGAAAAAGTGACTCCTGAATTATGGCAAAAATATCAAATGGCAAATAAGTGTTGGAACTGTGATGGAAAATTACATGAAGCTGAATATAATAAAATTCGTGTATTTAATCCTGAAGCTAAAAAATATTTAGGTGCTTTGCATAGGAAATGTCATGAAAAAAAACTGATAATTCAAGGTAAACTAGATGATGAACAAAAAAAAGTACATGATGCGTGTAAAAAATGTATGTATTGTAAAACACAATTGCCAGATGATGGAAAAAATAAGATATCGTATGTCGCGATGTATAGTACCTCTCCCTTGTAGAATGCTTGCCGGTTCATGCATGGATATTTTAATAGTGCATATCAATCTGCCAATAAATATGTGTAATTTTTTTCGAAGGCAGACTAGGGCTGTTAAAAAGCTCATTAGAGTCGGTCTTTGAGTATGCTCAGCCTGAGTTACTCGGGACCTGAACTTTAAGCTCGGAGGGACCGTCTCCTGATAGTCACATGATAAATCAGATAAACGTAGCCATATATATACATAAGTTAATTGTTTGTTTTTAGAACAAACGAAATATTATTATAGACGATACAGCTTTTTGTTATGACAAATAATTTAATAAATGTTAAACAAAAGACATTTGATAAATTTGGTAAGACTATTTTATTTGTTATAAGTTTAAATAATTTACATATTAATGATTATCGTTAATTCAAAAAAAAAATAGTCGAACTATAAAAGTATCTTTTTTTCATGTTTCTTCGTTCTATTTATTCATTAATGTATAATCTTAGTAAATCAGTTTCCACATCTTCTATATCTCCCACATCTTCCACAAGCTTATCGGTTTCTATATTTTCCACAACCTTGCCATTTTCTAATCATTTGGTTGAAGCCTCTTTTGAAGATGTTTCAAGTTCCGTTGAAAGTGATAGTAATCTTGAAGAAATCCAAAATATCACAAACTATTATACAAAAAAATTTAAAAATAAACACAAACCTGCTCCTATTCATGATTATCTCGATATATTTGAAGATGGCTCCCGCAATTGCAAACTTTGTAATAATAAATGGGAATCAAGTACATCATTATCAACTATAACTCGACATTTTGAAAACAAACACCCACGTATTTTTAAAGATCTTAAATAAGCTACTATGAAATTTGCTCATTCTCTATATTCAATGGTTGAAAGAATCGAGAAAAGTCGTGTAGAATCTTTAAATAAAGATTTATAAGAGTGGATTGTTACAAGTCAATTACCTTTTTCTATAGTCGAAGAAACTCGTTTTATTAAATTATTCACAAATCTTGATCCACGTTACAAGACACCTTGCCGTCAAACACTTTCTACAACTGTTAGAAAAAAATATAAATTAGTTAAGATGAGAATATACGATATTTTAAAAAAAAAATCCAAGTAAATTAGCCCTTACTATAGATGCTTGGACTGAATATACTCAGCAATGTTTTCTTGGAGTTACCATCCATTGGATTGATATCGAATGGAAAACAAGAACTCTTCTTCTCGATCTTATTCCTTTACACGATTCCCATACTGGAGAATACCTAGGAAAAACAATTATCAAGCTTATAGAAGAT